CCCCCCCCCCCAACACACACACACTTCTTGCTGTGTAAGCCCAAAAACTGGCAAATTTTCAGGATTTGAAAAACAAGGTACCAAGAAGTAAGAGAAAGGTCCAGCCCCCCCCCCCCTCAATAGGATTTAGATTTTAGGGGGGGTAAGTATTTTTGGGAGGCGCCCCTTTTAAAAAGAAACATTAGCATGATTAGTACGGATCCGAAGAATATTTACTACCTTTAAAGAAGTAGAAGTTTTGACATGAACAAAAGGACAATGGCCACCCTGCCAAGCCCCCTTCAGGGCTTGTCTTCTTTTTCACTTCTGGCATGTCTGCTAGCCGTGAAATTTTTAAATCGGGTTAATATGTCTCTGATATTAAGGAGTTCGTAAAGGTTCTAAAAACAAATGTTAACATTACAGAAAAAAGAGCATTTCAATGACAAATATATAGATGCTTCGAACTCAGAAAATTTAATCCAACCATTGATAAGCTTGGATAATCATTACTAATTATAAATTATGTGTAAGTTTAATCGTTGGTTATTTTTATGTAGTATGACCGTGATTTTCAAAGTCTGAAATATACAACATTAATTTTGAGTTCACATGTACTCTCTTATATTACACAGCCTTCGTTATTTTTGCAATGCTACCATGCACTTGCATGAATACAGGACTACCAATATCAGGGTTGTCCCCAAGAATTAAAATAGCAGGGAACACTGATGGGGGTCTCGGGTTCCTCCTCTACATGTAACAGGGATTTGAGTGGGAATGCCAGATTAACCGCGCGGGACATTATGTCTTTAAAGGCGGGGAAATTCCCCGGCTCCCGGGTCTTAGGGACAATCCTGTCAACATTATGTAATGACAGATATCGATTGGTGTGAAGCCGAATTCTTGAATATATGTCTTGGTTTCGATATGCCGCTATTAGCCGGTAATTCTATAAGGTGTGAATTCAGCCCTGCGGGTGAATTTTGCAATCGATTTTCAATCAAAGGTGTGAATTGAAAGATCGATAGCATGCAGTATTTTAAATCACTGATTAATTGTACCCCCTATTACATGATTTCCGTGCATTTGCATGGGATGAAATAGTATTTAACGGTTTCAAGAATAAAATACAAATTAATCTACCGAAATGCCAGTATACATGTACGTACATTGTACCATGTCATATAGTTTGCATATCCCGTACCACAAAAGATTTGTTTTGAATACATTAAATGGATTGGAAACAAATTTATATAACTTCGTAAGTTCCTCTTAGAACAACATTTATTAAAGGCAGATCCCCCCCCCCCCAAAAAAAAGATTAAAAAAAAAAAATCAATGGCTTTATGTATTAATGAATCAGTTTAGCCATATAGTTTAATTTTTCTAGTTAACAAAAGAAATTAATGTAACTTGTTATGAATTATTTCATCATGATTGTAAATCATTGTCAATTCTTAACATTTGTAACCCTGACCTTCTTGGAGAGGACTTATATAGGTCATGCCTGATGTCCAATCTGATGTCCAATCCAATTATGTAAACTGACTTTACATAATAAAATACTGATTAAATTAATAGTTTAATTTTTCATTCAAAGTTTCTCGAATAAGAATTTTAAACATAGCTAGATTATTTTTTTTAAAATATGTACAATTTTGTTTAATGTTTGATGTGTTTAGAAATTTGATATTTCTATCATTTACAAACAATTAAATGATTAAATCCAAAGTCTTTTGGAAGTCCGATTTCCTTGTCTCAAAGTTACAAATAAAATTAATGATCCGATTGGGAAGGGGTGGCGGATCACAGTCACGCTTTCGTGAACTGTGACAATGGCTGATTATCGGGTGTAAACAGAGGTGAACATCGATAGCAGATATATACACATTGTAAGTTCATCGATGTGTAGCGGATGTGTTCATATAGGATAGGACTATACATGCTATAGGGGAAGGGGTGCTTTATGCGATCTAATGCGTTTGCCATGCTGAATTAATTATTTTTTCTTTATTTTCACATTAATTTTCGGACGTCATTTTGCATAGTTTTCAGGTTTCTTCGAAAGATATAGATGTCTAGAACAAATGTGTTGTAAAAACAATGATTACAAAAGAATTCACTGATTAAGTTTTTGTTTGTGTACTTTGGTTTGCTGAAAGAATAAAAATAAGCAAATATAGACCAGAACTATAAAGGGTCCAGTTTTTCTGTTATATATATAGTCACAGTCTACGATAATATGAAAAGGTTAGAAAATATCCGAACCCCTTCTATATTGTTATGTTTGCTAATTGCTAATTGTTCTACATGTAATTAGGAGCTCTCGAGGATTCAACCCCGTATAATAAAAGATTCTGAAAGCAAAAATCTATTTAAGAAAGATAATCAAAAAAAGGGGGGTGGTGGTTAACTTCTTTGGGCTAAATAGCCATGTATGCGGTACGTGCGTGTAAACGTGAATAAATCAAGGTAATTAATTGATAGGAAATGATGTTTGTATAGAAAAAATTGGATGTATCATTTATGTCAAATTAACAACATATCACTTTTATTTTAGGGTAAAAGAGGGAACAGGAGGGACGGAAAAATTTCGATCTAACTATAAACGATATAATTGTTTTCTCGAAACTTATTAATTGCAAATAAAACTAAGAAGTAAAATCAGAGCTACGATAAAACTGTGTTATGAACGTGTTAATTCAGTTCTTTATTCCGTGGGACTTCATTCCGTGTAATAAGCAAAGTCACCCAAAACATCATCGTAATAGCCCACGCAGCTACTGAATAATCAGATAATTATATAGCCATGCAAGACCGCCCAGGTTTTCCACTTATATAACATTTCAGCATGTAGCTTTCATTGCGTTTTATTTAGCTGATCAGGCAAAAAAAAAAAAAACAAAAAAAAAACAAAAAAAAAAACACACACACACACAGAGAACGATTTCGCAAGTATCATATTATAAGTAAAAAAACGTACTAAATAATTGTCATTATTCTAAATGAAAAAAAAAAGTAACAGAAAAAAATACTTTGGATTCCGATTTAAGATTTCTCTGTGTTGTTCATGTTTTAGTCAACACTTGGTCCAAGTCAGAAGAGCGCTTTATGAACAGAATAGAAACATCACCTGTCGGCTATCCCTATCGTAGAAGTCTATTGTAACAAGGATTAATTCATGCAAGTTTTAAATCAATCTATTTGATTTAGCATGTGTGAATTACTCCACTAACATCACCAGTTGACCTGTCCATTCTGCTGTCATTACAGACAAGCAACTTTGTTTACATGTAACTGATGTAAGTTATTGGCATGCTATAAATCCTGGCAAGTTGAATGGGGACCTATATAACTTTATTTAGGCCTGTATATACCTGAATGGAACATGACAAAAAATATTTGGTTTATTTTTGACACATGTATGTACAATTTGTTGATAATATAGTACATTAGGTTGTGAGCATTTTAAATTAAACTGTAAAACACTTTGTTTATTGTACAGTTGCATGATTGACTCTGATCAGTATTTTATGAGGTGAATATTAGGGGAGGGGTGTAATTTATATTAGGTTTCTGTCTTACCCGAGGCAAGTTTAATAGATGATCAAGATCCAGAAATTGATGGTGGATCCAAAGGGAATGGGATTCAAGATTTTGAAGATATTTATTGATTATTTATTTTAAATGTAACGTCAAATATCAAGACTTTAAATCAATATGAATATTTTTAATGAGTGACTGGGATCCAAAATATTGGTAGGTGGATCTTGGGATAATTTCTTTTTCTTTAATAATTATGTCTAATTGACTTCAAAGTCATGTGTGAACAAGATCCAAACTTATGAATGGTGGATCCAAGGGGAGTGGAAATTAAAAATTTTAAATATATGTGGTGGATCAAAGGATTTTTATATTTTATTTCAGGGTATATAACTGTTTAGGTTTAGATATAAAACATTTAGCTTACTAGAAATGGATGACCATGATCCAAACTTATGAGTGGTGGATGTAAGGGGAGTGGGGATGAAAATTTGCCAACAGCTAGAAATGATTAAAAAGAGTTAACTATTTTCTTGACTATTTCATATGAAACTTTTTTAAACACGTTCCCATGAAATTAAGGAATAAATACACAAATAAATGAAAATATATATTTGTAATAACTATTAACTATTATAGAAAGACAAAGAAGAAAATGATGCATTTAAAAAGACAGTCTTTAGGAATTATCTTAGAGAAAATAAATATTGATATATGGGTTTTTTAACCCCTTGATGAAGAAATGTGGGGGAAAAAACCCCACATTACAATATAAGCAACACATGGGTTAAAAAACCCCACACTGAATTGTATGGGTAAATTTTCCCCATGGGGAAAATTTTAAACCCCATGGGGTTTTTGTGGGGTTTTTTATGGGGTAATTTTAAGTACATGTTTCCCCATGGGATTTTTATCTTTGCCACTTAATATCTCAAAAACTAGCTAAAAATGTTGGATTTTTTATTTCATAAATCAATTTAAATATAAAAACCCCACCATTTAAAAAAAATCCTAAGATAATAGCTTTAAAGGGAAAGGGTGCGCAAGTTCGGAAAAATGTCCATTCCGAAGTTGTCCGTCCCACTGTTTTACCATTGATTTGATATAATACAAATATGTATGAAGCTTTTTTTTTAAAGGTAATTGTTCTGTTATTCAGTAAAATATATTCAATTTGATACATGTATATTTGAGTTCACAGTGAGGTAAAATTAGATCATAGCTCTGAAATTAATATTGCAAATTCATATTTAAATACGAGGCTTGATCCAAATGTAATTTCACAACTGCTAGAAAATCTTTAATAATCGACAAACTTCAACAAAACTTCCATCTATTTTGACTATTGCCCTACGGTGAACTTTATGACCCTTGGTAATTGAGTCTCTCTCTCTCTCTCTCGTGTTCTACTAATCAGCGTTTGTTTTTTTGAAAACAATACATGTATATTCGCACTGGGTTTTTTTCTATTTAAGATATAAACAGTACATACGCGCAGGAATATAAAGATGCCGCTGGTGACAATAGCCGTTATTTTTGGGCCTCTTCCTACGAGGATCTGCCCTCTATTGAAGCTGCCGTTTTATCAGCAATTACCAATTGTCCGACTCCACAAATTACAACCACCACTGGTGTCTCCTTAAGAAACAAAGACGTCAGTAAGCAAATAATTTTTATTGTTGGACTTTTACTTTATTAAACATATACACACGCACACTTGATTATGATAGTGCTAACCTGCATTTTTTGGTTGTAGCAACCCTGTTTATTAAAATTTCATTAAATTCCATTTTCCAGCTGCTCCGTGTCTTAACAGTTTAATATATATGTACCCAAAGGATTTGACAGCAAACACAGGGGGATCAAGAGGTATTGTACAATTTATCATTACTTTCATTTCGTTATTAAAAGCATTATATAATTCTATATAAGAATTCAAGTTATAGTTTATCATTGAAGAAGGTAACGTTTTGTTTTTTATGAGATCAAATTTCTTTTCTTGGATAAATCGGAAAGGGGTAGGTATGATAAAAGAAACCAGACTCTTGTTAACTCTACAATTATATTATTCCAATCTATCGCTTTATTAACTTCCTGCAATTTGATAGGACAAGAACAAATTCCAGAAAGAGTATACACATCGATAAATCTGATCAACCGGAGCTATTTTGTAGACCTTGTTTTTACCGTAAAAAATTCGGCTGACTCCATGTTCTCGGAGGTTCTCAATGTACCTTGCTTGAAACTAAACATAAAATTTACGGAATATATTTGACTTCACATGTGCCCGGGTTTGCCCCCCCCCCCCGGTACAACACTGAGGACATAATACGGTATGCTGCCACCCTCTACGAACTACAACTCTATTTTTTCATCAGATTACTAAAAACAATGTTGCCATGATAATTAAGATTGAATTTACTTGTATACTATTTGCTTAATTTTTGAAATCTCAGTTTTCCACCTGATTTCAACAAAACCTCGTCAAGATTCTTTATCGGGCGTATATAGAACGTACTCGTATTAACTGCAATTGTTTTCTTAGACGAAATGAAGTATACGCTGTTAGTGCGACAGTTTTATCATTTTCTTTCTTTTTTTCCCATTAGGAATGATGTACCTGATGACAGATTATGTATTTATAATAACCACCTGCTCACGTATCACGTCCTGGGAGTTTTCCTACTCGAGATCTGGATGGATAGATTTTATGGTGTGGAGACCTACTGGGAATAATTATAAGCTGGTAGCTTACAACACAATTTATGTTGAAGGTATTCATTTCAATTTTCACTTGTTGTGAGGACGTTGGTCTCCTATAAATTTACTCATCCTTCTTTAAAAAAACAGTTTGATGATATTTTAAATGTTTATATTTATGCCTATGATGTTACTAGTATTCTGTAAAATGAAAGGAGATGGGTGAACAAGGCGCGCAGAATGCCTATAGCTTCGGATACATAAAAATCATAATCAATTTGTGAATATAGTAAAGTTCTCATCATTGAAATTTATGATGTTATGATAAACAAAATTTTTCTGAGAAAAATTTTCTCGGCAAAAATTGCTCTGTTATTAAAAAAAAATAATGTGGTATTCGTGGGGTTCGAACCCTAACAATAAAAATCCTGAGTATCATTTTCTTTTGAGAGTAACACGCTAACCACTACGCTACACAACTCTTGATGAATGGTGGCATTTAAATCATGTTTGCGATATGACCCTTGACTAAATGGACTTCTATTTCTATAAAAGATTCGAATGTTGTGTCATAAAAGTGTATTTTAAAGGTAGAGTGCGTCTTTGCTCCATGTTCTTATTAACCAAAAATGTATATTTTTACACAAACTTTGAGAATAAACTTTGAAAAATATGGAGCGAAGACCCACTCATATAGAAAATTTGTGTTATAATATGAGAAAATAATACTTTTTGCCCTCTTTAGTGTGTGTATGCTATTTCATAAGCAAATAATTTCAAGCTTTGGGAGATTTTAACAAATTGTGGAGATTTTACATAAAGTATACTTTAATGTTAGATGAAATATCAAATAAAATTTTGTTATAATTGAAATTTAATTTTCACCTTCATGTTTGTCGCACTATAGGCATTGCGGCATTGCGCTCGCCTTGTTCGCCCATCTTCTTTTGGTGATTCCTAATTTTCAGTTTTACAAGCCACACATATTGCAGCACATTGCATAAAATTGATTCGTATTTTAATTTTCGCCAAAGGGATATATATTCGAAATAAGGCTGTAATATTTACATGTATATATCACTGTTTACGGTATTGAAAGAAGGAAAGCTTTGGGTTATTACATTATTTCTTGTTACATTCATTCACTGGTCACTTTAATTTAATTTTATTTAATAGCATTAATCTGAAATTGTCGGGAATTCTTTCCCCGATTTCATTATTCTTAGATATACAATCAATCAAACCGCAGGAATATGGTTGAAATATTGCCTACTCGGCGTAAAACAATATACATTCATTATTCTGAAACCTGGTATGTAGCCATTTCATAGTTTATGAAGATAAACCCTTACTCCTGAAAGTAAATACAATAAACATACATTTTAATATTAAACTAATGAATACATGCAAGTACAAAAGTATTTCTTTATGGATGAGGAATCTAGATAATTCATCTAATTTTAATTAATCTTAATTTGCGTAATAAAGTGTGAGTGTATGAAAGGTATATGTATAACTGATATGAAAATCGTAAAATACATGTATGTATATAGAAGGGTAAATTGTAAGTTATTTTCATTCATTCCTGCGTCTTTAGCAGTGGATTAGTGAATTTGCTATAATTTCACATATTGTTATAGGTCATTTAAATTATATCTGAGGTAATAAAAAAATTAAGGAATTCACCTGATACCATAAACTGGTATATGATAGAATGTGATCATATTGGATTAATATTAATATAAATCTTATAAAAAAAATTGGTAGTTATGAAATATTTCTACAAACTAGAAATAGAATGTTCATAAAAGTAGTTATTACCGAATTGTCCGAGTAATGTGCGACCTCATTTTTTTAAATTGAGTTATTCAAATGGCCTAATATTAATTATTTGTAAAATGTGTATATGTTTTCAATGTCATTTGTATATGCTTTCTAAATACCTATGTGTTTTGAAGTTGTTATTCTTGTAGGGTTGAATATTCCATACATTTCATTGATAAACTCAATACATTTGGATTTATAACACCCTGTCACTGTCTTGTTATTAATGAAGAACCGGTTACACATACATGACACAACTATCCATATTCATGATCCTTTTCAGGTGTTAATTCGACTATTTACACCGTTGTGGAATACGAAAGAATTGCTGTTCTGGAAAATGATGTCATTGGATGGTAAGAACTACTGTACTTAGGAAAATGTCCAGGCTTTACCGAAGTTTGAATTACTAAGCATGTTTCTGAAAGCTATTTTCTAGTACTTAAAAAGAAGTGAATATAAGAAACAGTGATAAGATTACGAACAGTGATCAATCCCTAGTCCAGAAAAAATATAATATATATATATATATCGTGAACAGGGCTGAAAAACGGACCCCCAGAAAAAAAAGTTGCCTTGGAAGAGTAAGCACCCCCTGTCGACCATTCACATCCGGCTTGAGCCCACTGTATTGAGATTAATGGAGTAATCCCTTGTGAAAATTGGAATAAAAACAATATTATGGCCAAAATTGTTGGGAAATATATCAGACAAAAAGTTGTAGTTGCAAACAAATTCATTATAACGACACTAGAATTTGCAAAATGCTGACCTTCAACGAAGTAATTGAATGCCCAGTAGCATCTATTGATTTGTCAGTAGCCTGTCTCGGTTTGAAAATTTATCATGACTTATTTTTTTTTAACCCTTTCGACGCCAAAGCGACATAAATGTCGTTTACTGTGTCAACGCCAAACCGACAAAAATGTCGTTTTTAATAGATGTTTTACTTTTTCTTTTATTAACCATATACCTTACGTGTAATTAAACACAATGATATTTATATTTTGACACGAGTATAGGTCTTTATTTTCACATAGGTACTGGTCTAAATATGACATCATATTTCTTACGTTGACGTTAAATAATGACGTCAGTTTTGGAGTACGCTAGCATTGTAAATAAAGTATGGCGCACTTTCCGTTAGCAATTTTATGTTTCATTGTTGCCGGAAAGTTTTACACTTATTTTCTGCGGTGATACATAGCCTACATGCATATATTTTTTTCAGAGAGAGAGAGTGAGAGAGAGAGAGATACGTGTCCTTTATATTATAAGTGGTTCTTTATTCTGAATAACACCTTATGAAATGTATTTAGCCATTTTGTTCCCTAGTTAATCATATTGATATACACGATTAGACAGGCTCAGGGTGTAGCGTCGATTTCCAAATGAGTGTGGGTGGTGGTGCCGGGGGGGAGGGGGGGGGGGCAGAGATAATTGACAAGCAAAAAAAAATTCCGAATAAAAAGGCAACCGTGAAAAGTTCAACCTGAAAAAGAGACCCCATCTTTATTCGGATATAAATACTGGTAACATGGGATATTTGAAGCTACTACAACAAATGAGGAGGGGAGGGGGCAAACAGCCCCTATATAAATAATTCTATACTAAATTAACACACAATTAAACGTAGGATGAGGGCACAAATTTTTGCAAAAAAATAAATAAATAAATAAATTTTGCTAAAAAATTTCAATAATGGATCTCCAAGAGCATAATACTCAGTGTTGAAGAAAATAACAATTACATCGTCAGTGATTTTATGCTTGAAAATAATTATGTATGAAGAAGAAGAAACAATAGAATAAGCAATAGATTACGCTGTAAAGAAACTATGATTGAACTTTTGAGAAATGGTCATATGGCGAAAATCTTTTGAAAATAAATCACTGATCTAGAAGGAAAAAATACTTTTACATATAACAAGTGGTTATGGGTGTAATTCAGATATTTTAAAAATGTTCAAAATCATCAACCACGTCACACCAATCGGAAGGCACAAAGACAGTCAAAAAAATCTATACATTATGAGAAAGATGAAAATTAAAGCAACGGTGAAGTTTTGAGCAAAAAAAAAACAAACAAAAACAAAAACAAAAAAACCGGAGATTCGTGCAAAACTTTGATGACCGTGAAATTATGTAAAAAAGCGTTTTGTTTGTTTGTTCATTTTTTGTTTGTTTGTTTGTTGTTTTTTTTTAACTTATTATTGAAATAAATTAGCCCTGCTTGGAAGTCGAGTTTCAACTCTGATGTCTCTATCACTGTGTTATTTAGTGATAAATTAAAAGCTTGAACCTGTAAAATAGGACAGGAGACGTCAGTAGAATTTAACGTGTTTATTTCTTGAAGTCCGAGGAAAAAGTACATAAGATAATCATTGAATCACAAAATAGTACTAGCAAATGCCACTGTAAAAATTTAAACACGCGGTGGCACAGATAATTTCACTGCTCATTACACCTTTAAAACAATTATTAAGTTACACATTTGTTTACAGATAATAAGCATTGCTATGACGTATTATATAAAAGTATACTGTAAGTAACAAAATAAGATGTGTGGTGACACAATAGTTTCATGTGTAAGGGCACCATTAAAACAAAATTGCACATCATTGACTTTACAGATATTGAGTGATACAAATGAAATCTTATTAGAATAATGAAATGGAAATAAAATTTAAATGGGGAAATTTACTCAAACAATAGAACTTCGCTTTGCATTGAGAGATATTATTTCATACAGATGAATACAGACCAAAACATAAGCACATGGCTTTGTTTACATTAACACTTAATGACTTCCGGTGAAAAGATCTTAACTTCCGGTAGCTTAGAAAAGGGGGGGATGATTCTTAAACAAACATACAAATAAAGGACGCTTCAAAGAAATCTACACAAACTACATGAAAAATGCTACAAAACTATAATACTACTTGGTTACATGATAACGAGAAAAGTGCACATGTACTGAGCTTTGAGGTCGCATGTAAAACAATGAAATCTTACAATCTTGCAATCGAGATCAGCAATACAAGTTGAATTAGCATGTGAAATACAAATTAAACAATAAAAAGTTACTTACAATAGAAAAACTTGCATACTGAATGCCAGTTAACGTTTCTTTTTGAAAGCCGAATGTTTGTTGTTTCATTTTCGCACAGGATTTAATTGTAAAAGTGAAAATCCAAATGGTTGAATACCGTTTTTCCGAAATAGAGAGTTTAAACAATTTACAATGTAAAAATTATGCTCAAAAGATGGTAAATGTAATTTCACATTAATTATAATAGAAAATAAGGAAACTTGAATTCTGAACAATGATTTGTTACAAAACAAAGGTCCACAATAAACCATTATGATTTTTGACAACTTTCCGAATAAAATGTTCATTTAACAGAAGCATTTGCATTATGAAAATTAAACACATAATATTGTACAAGCTATAAAATGTAACAAATGTAGACAAAAAGATATGTAAGTAAAACATAATTTACCTGTAAAATAGGACAGGAGACGTCAGTAGAATTTAACGTGTTTATTTCTTGAAGTCCGAGGAAAAAGTGATCGGACAATACAAGAAAGCGTCCCCTGTCCGGAACTTGAGTTAATCTTGTCAACATAATTGCATTGAAAAGGTGAGAAGAACAATGGGCTCAAAGGTGCCATCAAAAGGCGCGATTTGCCTAAGGGCTTATCTACGATATCGATGAAAAAGGGGAATGACACATGTGCGAAATTAAGTTTGTTTAATAAATTGATAGAGTGAATCGGCTTCTTTTGATTTGTGTGACACTAATTGATTTCTTTAGATTTCTAAAGAAAATTGTCAAAAAGAATGTAAGATATACTTATCACAATATAATTCTAGAGTCTGTACACAACAAAGGAATTTAAGAGAAATGGATAAACCGACATTGAAACGAAATAAATGAATTTATAGAAAATTAGAATTTAATGAAATAATGTTTCAGTTTGAAAAATTAAAAATAAATGTTGAAATGGATTTCTAAAAATAGAAAATCTGGGAGGGTCAATGTGAACCTATGATATCTCGATAGCCAGGATATCTCGACATTTTCTGAAAGTTCCGTTGACTTGTACATGACCTTTAGGAAAAAGGACACACACACCCTTACACACACACACACACCTTTCTGCTTTTAGAGAAAAAAAAACGTTTCTAATCCAATCGTGTGGTAACAGCCAAAAATACAAGTCATGTTCTGTAATTTCAAGATTCCGAGAAAGTGATATTTTTAAAATAATAACTAGGAAATGGATATTGCTTAACTGCATCGCCATATACAAAAAATATAAACGTTTATAATTATATGTACATTTTATTGCATCGAAGTATGAAAAGCTAAGATGTCAGGTTACCTGATGTCACGGAGGAAGATGAATAGATGACCTTAATTGCGAAAAAATAAATTCAAGTCACGCAAGATATTCAGTTTCAATTTCAGATTTAATGCAACTGTATTTCATTTTGCCCAGAAAAGCCCAGCTCCATTAAATGTGCATAATTATATAGAAAAGAGCCAAGAGTAGTACAAGTATCTCTTGGATGATTTTTTTAATTTTAGAACTTTTCGTCAATCTGAGTTGGAAACCAGACAATCGCTGTAAACATATTAGTAATTAATCTCTCGCGAGATTTCTTCAATTCCAGGAATCCAGAAAGGTCATTTCGGATCAAGCGCAATGCTACAAGGAATTTTATTTGAAATAATAAGCTTAAACATGACAAGTGACTGATGGCTATATTTCTATGTCCAGCAGGTGAAGTTAGATCACGAAGTTTCAAATCATTCCGACATCATTAAATGGTAAGATTGAAAATATGCTGCTCACGTCATTTCCATCTGTCAGAGTCAAAACAATTGATGATAGAGAATGAGTCTGAGAAAACATGGGATTGAAATTCTAGTTCGAAATTCATTTTCAATCCACCCCAGCTACTCTTGTGCGCACTGTGTTCGTGATAGATCCAGAAGACATATAATGTCAATTTCGGAATAGATTGACATTTATATAAATCAGGTAGAGTTTTCTGTCCAAAAATAGAAATAAGCAGAAAGTTTTTGAGTTTGGACAGCCCCCTCCCCCTTTTCTCGTTTTTGCTTGTCAACCGTTTTTCGGTGAAGAAGACTGAAATAAGATAAAATCTCTTGACATCCTTGAAATAAATATGTAATGTATTCTGTATTGTGAAGGCATCGACATAAATAAATTTGACCCCTCCCCCCCCCCCCCCTTATAATCAAATGGCCGTCCCATGAAAGAATACATCTATAACGTTTGATATTGGATTGAAAATTCTTATCTACATAATTTTCAAACTATTCGGGAATTAAAACTATTTGTCTTTTGAAGCATACATTAATACTTTGTCTATGAAATCAGCTTAAGTGGATGGAAAACCAACCTCAAACTTAAATTGTCAATCCACTGTTTTCTCAGACGTCCGTGTCGAATTGTACCCGCCCATATCATTATCGATCATCAGATAAGATGGAAATGACGTAAGCTGTATATTTCCAATCTTTCCAGTAAATGTTCCGCTGTCTATTGAATCTATTTTACAGAAACCAATTTACATGTTTTCTTTTTGAGATTTCAGTTTCGGCCTTTTTAAAAAACGATTGTTGTGTCCAAGTGATAAGCGTCGAGAGCACATGTAAAAGAAAAAGAAGACCACTTTTGATACAGTTTGATTTACTTGGAAAAAAAATAAGCAATTGACTAATAGTTTCAATTTTCATGAATGGAATAACCTTTCACAAAATAATCTTTTGACATCGTTATGTGCCTCTTTTTTTATGTTTCTATTCCATATCTAAGACAGGCGAAGAAATTGAATTGTATGAACAATGGAAACTTATTTAAAATATTTTATCAACGTATTTAAAAAGAATATCCGCTTGGAAGTAGAAAAAGATTTTTTTTATTTATGACTTTTTATGAACAGAATAAACTTTAAGAAAAAAAAAAAAATTCACACATTATAAATTCATCTGAATTAATTTTCCATTAGAATCCATCGGTGATACAAAAAATACTTGGGTGTTGTTATCTTCTCTTAACAAAGCTAGAGGCGAAAAAGAAACACGCTTGTGGTGGGTGGGGGGATGCGTGCTTATAACCGATATTAATTATTTGCTTTTTTGCGAGGGGATGGCCAGCTTTATGCGCGGTGCACTTGTTTGGGTTGGATTTCTTATTTCTCTAAGGGGCATCCGTGTATTTTGGGGGGGGGGGAGGGGGTAATGTTACAAGTGCTTTATATACTTTATTAATTGAGCTAGAGTATTAAATATAAAAAAAACCCTTTTGTGGAATTTTATTATTTTTTCGACTGAATATAAACCGTTTCCAGATCCTAAATTTCTAGACCCCCTCCTCCTCTCTTACGAAATAACTGGATCTGCCTCTAGAAGTATGAACTAAGGAGTCTTTTTCTTAGGACATACTAGTAGTTTAGAAGAAACAAATCAAATATTTTCTCAAGTTTTTATGTGTCAAAACGATTAAAATTATTTAAATAATTTTAAGAATGTTTAGAAACTGAATTTACGCACGCGGCATTCTTAGGTTTTCAGTCAGTAACGTCAACGTAGTTTTGAAGTGCCTTACTAAAATGCTCATAAAATACAGAAGAAAAATAATCAGATATGTTTTTTAAAGTTATTTATACATGTATTTGCATTCAGAAGGGGCCAGGCTATTTAAGGGCCCTTTACTCGTGACGGCAGTCATTTGTTTATAACATTTAGTAGATATGTTATTTGAAATTATAGATTAAACTCTCTTTTGTTATATTTAAAGAACTTTCCTTGCATATGCTAGCTACAGGATAAATATTGGCTAAATTTACTTTATGGCGATTAAAAATTACTGCAATGAATATGACTATATTATACGATTTTTCCTTGAAAACTATAAACATCCTATTATCTTGGTTAAACAGGTGCTTGTTTCATTATCAATTTGACGATTTTTCTGAAGCAATTATTTTACGTCCCAATTGACATCATAGTACGGCATCCATGACGTTATAGACGTAACTTTATTCGGCGTCGAAAGGGTTAAACCTCAACGGTATAAATTAAATAATTTGAACAGTCCACCACTTACGACGTCACTATGAAATTACGTCAATCATTATTGACAAAACAATGAATGGTCAGGTGACGAAACTATTTATACACAGACGTACATGTAATACGCCTTGCTTATAATGTTATGTAGGGAAACATTTGCAAATGTAAATATTTGTATATATTAATGTAAAACGTAACTCTGGATAGCTGACAGGCAGATCCAGAGCTTTGTATGTCAATGACGGTTTGCTGCAATATGTTTTAGGAAACGATTTGACGGAGCAAATATTTACCAGCATTCCAAAGAAAAACAAAGCCAGGCTAAGAATATATTGATGAAACGTCAGTGATATTCAAGTTGTGCATGTAGAACAAATTTGTAAATGTGATAACAAAATTGGCATAACGAATGTGGCCTTACACATCACATAACAAAATGTTCCCACGTTTGACACTTATTTTTATAAGTAAAAATACAAGACAATGACAGTTTTGGCATCTTGGAACGAATGATAAAATTGTACTTTTCTGTATCCATGTACTTTGTTAAACATTACAATTTACCGTAGTAGTATTCCCAAAGAAATCTTGATTTACAAGAAATAATGTGTTTTTTATAGGCGCTCCTTGGCTGATAATGATGGTGGTAATATAATCACAAACGGAGACTGCTTAGATGAGTGTGCCTTTGGATACCAGGCATACTCGGCCCAAACTTTACAGAGAGGAGACGAGTTCGATTGGAAAACGTCAGGCACCATAATAAATACAACAGCCTATGCTATCAAAGCTTGTCTTGAGGACAGTAAGAATATTTATTGTATCTTTCACTTGAAGCATTTTTTTGTAAGAATATAAATCACATATTTAATTATTTTCATCATTTTAGTATGGTGACCGTTTCTGGAGTGTTATCATATAATGCCAATGATTAAAATACACATGTTTATATATATTTCGTGTTAAATTCTTACATCAAACATCGATATTTCAGATTAGAGATGACTTAAATGCAAGTAATTTTGTAACTGAAAATATGGCTTTCAAGTAATAATTTCAATTTTCTTTTGGGCCTATTAGATGAAAGTTTTATAATTGTTGAGACCATAATTTCGATTTTCATTATGCTTTCATTTATTTCAGTTGATCGTAAAAGCGTGTCCCTTTTTAAAAGTTTAATTATTTCCTCTTCTAAATTTTTTTTCAGATACAATTATATCGTTCAACAACCCAAATCAATCTGCAGAGATACCTGACCACTTACCCCCTGGTTCCTTTGTGATGGTGTTGGAAGTGGGAGGGGCGGACTACGCTGAAAACGTGACGTACACCGTCATGCAACATCCCTCCTCTTCTTCCTCTGCCGCGTATTTTGTAGTGGATGAAATAGGTACAACCATGATATTATGCTAAAAGTAGATATATTCTTCAAAAAGTTTATCACCGGCATCCTTGAATTTGCTATTCTTCCAAATGTTTCATACGATTTGGGAACATGTTTGATCAATGAGGTACTGGATCCGTCTCTGAAAGTTTGTCTTCTTACTGTTTCGAAAAAAGTGATACTGAAGAGACTGTCAGTGTGTACCCAGGCCTCCTGATAACAGTTGTCGATGCAAAAAAACCAACAACAACAAAAAACCAAAACAAAAAACAAAACAAAACAAAACAAAAAAAAACGAAAAAAACAAAAAACAAAAACAAAGCAAAAACAAAACAAAAACAAAACAAACAAAAGTGAAATGGAAGATGTGCAAAGTACAGAAAGTTTCATACTTGTTAGGCCATTATTTACACTCTGATTTGTCTACGAATTTTTCCGTTAGTTACCGATCATCACATAGAGCACACGGCGGGTGTGACCTGTCGGCAGGGGATGCTCACTCCTCCATGGCACAATTTTCCACCTCTGATGTTTTTGGAGGTCCGTGTTTGCTCTGCTACCGATTTGTATTGTCTAAGTGAACTTTGAGCTTGAATACTGTACGTTATCTCCTTTTCCTCTAAAAAATAGTATTTCTCATGAATATAAACAATGAACTTTCTGTATAAAGTAATTTTGATGCATGGGGCATGATTTTAGGGCCAAGTAATGATATTTAATTCATTTGCATAACGCATTGCAATACTAGTAATCAAGATAATGCATGTGGGGAAAGACAAGGAAAAATAAACACAATCAAGCTTTTTTTCAGCTCAAGTAACGGTCGCAAAAAAGATGCAGAGAGCTACTGAGGTCAAGGACTATCTGTTACTGGTAGAAGCAAAGGATGCCTGTAATACAAGTGCCACAGTGACGGTTTCAATAGAATCACAAAATATGGTAATTTTTCATTTTCTTCAACATGATCCTCTGCAGTATTAATGTCATAATGCGACATTGAAAAACTTTTTCATTTTTCAATGAAAGGATTCCGTTATCAGAGATCGATTCCTTGAAAAAAGAAATAAAACGGATACTGTAGCATTTCTCGATGCTCCAGTCAGAGTAATAATTTTTTGTATCAGAAGACAGTGTCAGTTTTATTAATAAATCAAAATTAAACAATCCGTAACAGATTATTACCGCCGATATATTGCTGAAATATTGCCAACTCGGCAATAAACAAGATCAATCAATCAATTATTCAACAGATTATTAAGATTCTAATAGCACGATGCTTATTTGAGTATGTGCTTCAATAAATTACACATTACATCAAAGTTCAGGAACATTTTGTGTTGAGTCTCTCTTTGCTCAAACTCTAACCTGGCCTGTAACGAATGTGTAGAAAACATACCTTAAATAGAGGTAGCTGACCAGAAGGTATAACATGACATTGAATTGTTAATTTATATCGTAGAAGGTTCTTCTTTATCAATTTAACCGATTGATAGTATATACTCATCCTATAGGCGCCAGATCATTCAACTTCAAGTGTTTTAGAGGTCCATGTTTTATCCTGTTCAGGATTAGTACATTTACAGGATAAATAATATTGATCGCTGTTCATCATCTTCACCTTTTTACTGAATTTAGTCAATTTACTTAATTTACTGAATATTTGATATCAGATTAAGGGAACTGTATTTGGACATCAAGTACAACTGGGTTTACACTCAGATTCTTTAGTGTTTCACAAAAAATCATGTTACTTATTATTGTAATTGATGATCTACAACTATTCCTGTGATATACAGATAATGCATGCAAAAAAGCAAATATTACCCATCTATATCATTATATATTTATTGTTTCAGCCTCCGGAGATACTAGATCTACCGAATTCTATGTTTGTTGCCGAGGAAACGGGGGGAGAAACGGTTTTATACTCCACCATTGTTGAAGATCCTTCAGGTGATGAAGTTTGTTGCTTGCTAGAGACTGTATTACCAAGTTCAACGAATTTCAACGTAACTGGAAACTCCACAGTTGGTTCATCACGTGGCACCTTTTCCATTTTGACCACTTCAAATCCCGCCTTTTCTTACAAAGATATTAACTCCTACATGGTGAAGCTCTGTTGTGACGACAGTGCAGATAAAACAACAGGAATATTACTAGTCAATGTGAAGAAACCGGCGAAAGCAGCTGGATACGAACCACCTAGTAAGTGTAACGTTAGAGAATTTTTAAAAAAAAATTCTCTCGTAATGTATATCGACGATAAGATATCAATACATTTGATGCACGTTTTAGTAAGCGATATTGTATGCAACATCATTTCCCAAAATTATTTGCTAAAGTTTCTCTCAAGAGCATTTTTCATGTAGCTTTTTCCTGAAGCACTGGACTACAAGGAATGACACTTGAATTATATGGAGAAATGGTGTTTATTCTGCTCATTTGCATATTGGCCATATAGAAGCTATTATGGCGGCAGATTCCATTAAGGTTTATTTACAAAAAAACAACAGGCCCAAAGGCCTTGAATCGCTCTTCTGATAAATTGTACGACCTATCACTTCTATTTAAAGCCTCTAAGTATGCTACATATTTAGTAAAAGCTTTAAAATTCCAAAAGTAGGTCATCGTAACCTTTATTTTGGTTAAAACACTCTGAGAACCCAAGATACATTAACTGACAAAGTTTGATAATTTGAAGCCCCTTATTATTTTAAATATTCAGATGAAGCCATGAAATTCCAAAAGTAGGTCACAGCCTTCTTTTTTGTAAACATACTCTGTGTACCCCAAAATGCATCAACTGACAAAGTTTGATGATTCTAAGTCTCTTTTTATTTATTGCCTTCAGAAATTTAAAAGTAGATCACTGTAACCTACATTTTAGTTGACACACTCTGAGGACACAAAATACATCATCTGACAAAGTTTGACGATTCAAAGCCAATTAGAATCTGAAATATTAAATATAGCCATAAATTCAAAAAGTAGGTCACAGTGACCTGCTTTTCAGTTGACACACTCCGAGGACCCAGGATGCATCAACTGACAAAGTTTGATGATTCTAAGACAATTAGTATCTGATTTTTTTTCAATATAGCCACTAAATTTCAAAAGTAGGTCATGGTGACCTACTTAATTTTTAGTTGACATTCTCTGAGGACCCAAAATGTATCTACTGACAAAGTTTGATGATTCTAAGCAAATTCGTTTCTGAAATTTTTTTAAAATATCATTAAAAAGACCCTTAAAAGGAGGCCATAGTGACCTGCTTTTCAGATGACACACCCCAAGTACCCAAGATGCATCACTGACAAAATTTGATGATTCTAAGACAATTAGTATCTGAAATTTAAAAAAAAAAATAGTCATGAAATTTCGAAAGTAGGTCATGGTGACCTAATTTTTATTGACATACATTAAGGACCTAAGATGCATCATTTGACAAAGTTTGATGATTCAAAGTCAATTACTATCTGAAATTTAAAAGATAGCCTTAACAATTCAAAAATAAGTCACGGTGATTACTTTTTTTGACATACTTTGAGGATCCAAGATGCATCAACTGACAAAGTTTGATGATTCAAAACCAATTAGTGTATGAAATACTAAAATATATTCTTAAAATTCCAAAAATAGGTCACAATGATCTACTTTTCAGTTGACAAACTTTAAGCACCCAAGATGCATCAACTGAAAACATTTGATGATTCTTAGACAATTAGTATCTGAAATATTTAAATATATCCAAAAAATTTCAAAAATAGGTCACAGTGACTTACTTTTAATAAGTTGACATACTTCGTGGACCAAAAGATGCATCAACTGACAAAAGTTTGATAATTCTATGCCAATTCGTACCTGAAATATTTAATTTAAAAGTAGGTCACCTTCTGGTCACGGTGACCTACTTTTCATTAAACATACTCCGAGGACCCAAATGCATTAACTGACAAAATTTGATGATCATAGGGGTCAAAGTTTCCAAAATATTCCTCTTAAAACAATTTGAAAATGAATGCCTGAAAGTTCAAAAAGTATGTCACCGTGACCTACATGTCAACATGATATAAGGTCCCAAGATGCATCAACTGACAAGATTTGATGATCCTTGTCCTAATAATAAGCAAAATATCAAAGGTTTAACAAAACATATTTTTTGATCAACTTTGAAGTGACCTTGAGACCACACCCTTGGCCCCACAATGATGCCTTGAATCTCAACATATACTATCATTTTGTGCAAGTTTGATGATTATCCACCCAGTGGTTCTTGAGAAGATTTTTTAGCTACCAGTACTTTTGTTTTTATTTTCCCAATTAACTCCCCTTGTTTAAGAGACACATCCTTAGTTTTAATATAAACGAGATCTCTTGGACCAAGGATACTCTGTGACAAATTTGACAATAATTGGCCAAGGTTCTTGAGAAATGGTCCATATTTTACAAAGTTTATGCACACAGCACTAATGACCATAGCATTAGCTCTTTGAGCCTTTGGCTCAGAAGAGCTAATAATAAAAATAAAAAAACCCCGCAAAGAACAAGGTACAGTTTTGGCCAAAATTTGCCCTGTTCAGGAAATCAACCAAAATACTATATAAAATATTAGAATATGTTAATTTTATGAAAAAAGTAATTTTTATCTGATATCTTTTGAAGCGCCTGAAATATACTCCTTTAAAAATGCACACCTGCTGTCTTGACGTTCGCCCATTTTATAAAGACAATAACTTACGTTATGAAACATTACAATACGAGGGTTGCTGGGATATAATTGAGAATTTACTTTTTCTCCATAAAAGAAAGAGATCATTTCATGAAAATTCTTTATCAAGAAGAAATAAAATAAATGTGCAAAATTTCTAGTTCATATGATTATTAGATAAGCTCCGATGATATTATAAACTTGAATATGTCCACTGAACTGGGGCAGCATGGCTACGTCATTTTAACGTCACGTCAGCCTTAGATTATTTTCTCGTGTTGAAACGATTGGAAAGCGTTAATTCTTTTTCTGTTATTACTTATAAATGTATAACTTTGTAGAAAACAAACTCTCTCTTTTCTTAGTCAATTCTTTGAAAAATAAAATGTGTGTTGCCACAATTGAAAATTACATGAAATGTCATGTACACTTTGACTATCGTGCAGTACCGACTTTTGCACCGCTGGTCAACGTTTTTTAGTCCCTAATAATTGATGGTCATCTAGCGCCTTTGGTTTCACTCTAATTGAATAATTTGTGAGGAAAAAATATACAAATGAAAAAATGAAATGTTTCTTCGCATCATTATTGTTTTAGCAGGTAGTTTAGTCTAGACAATAGTTCTCCACATGGCTACATAAATTTTTGTATACTCGCTCCTCCGCATTGACGTCATAATCCATTTTGCTGTCGTTTTCAGATTTCTATTTACACGTAGTAAATATTAATTATGACTGTTGTATTTCTAGTCTAAATTCCATCAAAATTGCATAAAATAGAGTCAAAATAAAATTGAAAAATTACATACATAATTTAAAAAAAATTCCCATTCTGGTCCACGAAACTACGTACGTAGTAGTTATCGATTTTCATTATCTGATTTCATGACTGCGCCGGGTACCCCCACCATTGACTCATTCATATACCACAGAAAAGAAAAAAGACAAAATATTTCTGAAATATTTCTTGCTTTTATTTTTTATGTATGTTTAGAGAAAATGCCAATTTTCACCAAAATACTTTCATTATAGAGAGGATAATATACACAATCTCCCAATAATTCCAGAAGATCCCTAGTATACTACAAATTCCGTAGGTCAAGACCTCGTTATTTGTATTCTAAATTACTATACCTCCCCCCCCCCCTCCCATACTATCACACACAAAATTAAAATCAAAGTAAGGGTTTTTACCATCCCACCTAAACCAACAAGAAATATTCCCATTTCTTAAATTTCTATGACTGATAAAAAAAGGGGGAGGGCTTCCTCCTTTAAGTGAAAGAGGGAAATTGTTTGACATTTCTCCGATACCTGCGAAATGGTGTTTGATGTTATTTCTGTCACTCCTTGGACCCGTTTTACAAAAGAACTTACGACTAAGACCGAAAACTTAAATTGGTTGTAAAATTTTGCAATATAAATGATTTTGTTTAAAATTGCTAGCGTAAAAATATCTTACTACATTCCTTTCAAAAAGATTAAAACCATTTTTAATATAATGTAAGTTAAAAAGTTAGAAGCAGAATTAAATTTTGGTCTTAGTTGTAAGTTCTTTCGTAAGGCCCCTTGCCTTTGATTTCACCCCCTTCCTGAAATGAAATACCCTTTTTGTATGTTTGGTGATTGATTTAACAACCACCCTTTCTTTGTTTTCTTCTGTTTTAAGGAACAAATACTGCAAAATCACAGGATCCTGTGCGACTTAATTGTATTTTCAGAGATAACAGTAATTACAATAAAAATAGTAGAAAGTCAGCAACAAAACATAAACGAGAGACCTACTGTAGCTGATTCTAAGTAAGGAAATTTCACTTTCCTAAAATTCTATTTCGAGATGAAGAATTTAAAAGTTATGCATCTGGCCAACATCGAATTATTTTAGGATTTAAGACACATCTCTCGTTATGGAAAAAATATGTATTTTAAGAGAAATAAAGGAAGTTTCTGCACTTTTTTGGAAATCATCAAATATTTGCACCTGTGTTAATTATTTCGCTAATCATTATGAATATAATTGTTATATTTGTAAACATAATAGTAAAAATTACTATGAAATAAATAAGAAATTGTTCAGCATAACTTGTAAACATACATTTACATGTTCAGACACATCTCTCGTACTAATACCGAATGACATTATATTAAATGACATTGGAGAGAAGAAAATAAAACGTTTTAAAAGCAATTGAGTTCTTTCACTCTTCAACATCACTGTCCTCATCACTGTCTGATTCATCGATAATTTCGGGTAGATCTGATGCATCATTAACAGAGGTGCTCCAATTCCTGACACCTTTCACAGAATCGACTTCATGTCTCGCGTGCGCAAGAAACCACACGACACTGGTGATGTGGCCACACATTCCGACTACTCTGCTCCCCGCTTTACACTTACAAAACCAACCATCAATCACACCATCATTATAACTTATCCAGCACTGATAATTTCTAGCCGATATATGTCTACTCTGGATTTTAGCGGATAGTATTCCCTGTATATCATCGCTTACTAAAATCTCGTATTTACCTTCGATGTCCGTGTGTTCGTGTGTATATGATCGAGCCATACGAAGTTGGTATACCCCCAAAGTTAGCTCTCTTATACCATTTTCGTCATATTTTGGGAAATCTGGCGCACACTGTTCGGCGTCAACCTTTACCCAACGAACTGGCCTCTTGTCCAAACCCTCTTCCTCCACACGTTTCTGTAGTGCATTTTCTTTTCGGGAGAGATGAAGCATTTTTGCAGCAATTGACTGATCATCGGATGTGGTAGTGCACAGTGGTGGCCGATACCTATTACAAATGGCTGATACAATTCTGATATAATCCCCGATGAATGGTATCTGGGTGTTAGGTAGGGTCTTCTCCAGGTATTTCCATTGTTTCAGTCGAGCATTAGCAGCTTCCACAACCCATCTTACCTATGAATGAAAGCATATACATATAATCACAAAATAAAATATGGTTTCAGGTACATGAAGCAGTGCTAGAGGAATACACGTTTTTGTTAAAAATAGCAGCGGGGGGGGGGGGGGGGGGGATGGGATCGTCGACAACATCTAACATCAGTTTAAACCGATGTACATATAATAAAATTTCAGTTCCGTTATAAAAATGTTTTGATCTTTTTTTCTTTCTTTTTTTAATTTCATTTTATTTATTTATTTATTTATTTTTTGGTGGTGGTGGAGGGGTATGTTATTGCTGTAATAATTAATATTTGATTCATCTACCTTTGTAACCACTCTAGAAATATTTGAATCATGGGTTGTCAGTTGTTTATCTCCCCTCTGTATGAATGACGGCAATTCCATTTGGATACCAAGATCTTCCAACACATCTCCAGTGTCCCTGAATCCCCTATCCACAACAAACACGTCATCCTCTTTTAACCAGGATTTCATTTCTTCAGTGTTGTGTAGAATCATGTGTTTTAGAATGCTAGCATCGTTATTTTTTGAATCCGCTAGATAGGGTCCAAGAACGGAAATTATGTAACCCGTAGTAGTTACAACCATCATGGGTTTAACGAGGGGCCTATGTTTGTGCATGCTGTAAGACCTTCTGGCAAAGGCGAAGTTAGAACTTTTCTGGATATACACGTAAGTTCCATCTAGAACTAATATTGCCGGATCTGCCGTAGCACTGTTCGTGAAAAGATCTCTAGCAAGTTGGCGGGTGTGGTTCTCAATCACTGCCTCCCGCGTGATGTGCTGAAAACCCAGATTTTGTGGTACAAAATCTGTCATCAGTGCTTTTCTTCCTGATTTAATAGCTCGTCTTATCTGTATAAAAGAATAAATGTGAAGTGATCCTTTTCACAAAATATCTAACGACTATGTATATACATATTATTTAACATATTTAGTTTATAAATAGAATAATGACTGCTTTTGCATAAAACAATAGATACAAAATTATGTAAAAACCTGATGCTTCGTCATGTTGAATAATACGCCCAGCAATTTGTTTGACATTGCTGTACGCAGTTTCACCAGGAGAATGGCAATGCATGTCCTCTTACTTCTTACTTTTGTTGAGTTGATACTGGTCACCGTTGACACAACATCTTCAAATTCACGACGAGTAAGTCCAGTTAGAATCTTGTAGTCGTCATCATCCATGTTGCCCTCATCATCAAAATCGAGCCTGGAATTGCGGAAAGCTATTTCCCGTAAGTCTTGAATGATGTTATATACTGCGGTTCTATTCAACATTACACCCTCACTGGTTTTAATATTTTCTATAGCTTTCTCCGAAAGCTTTCCACTTATTAAGTGACCTGTACAACACCTTGCTCCTGACGGAATTATGATTTCTCCTATGATAAGTACATGCAGGCGAGCTTGATTTGAAAGCGAAATAAGTTTAGGTCCTGGCTTTTTGCACACAAAACAATATCCATGACTTTTTGTTGAAGATGAGAAAGGTAATGCAACAGATGGCGGACTTGATATTTCTGTCAATTTAGTGCGTTTGGGAGATGTAAAAGATGGATCATTAGCCTCATCCTTATCACTTACAGGAATTGTACAAACCTCCCTTTTTCGAGAAATGTTTCGGCATTTATGACGGCACTTGTTGCACAGTACGTCTGATTCTGTTGCACCAACTGCAAATTTTTTTGACAGAATGTTTATATATCCCGACTGTACTGGACGACGTTCTTGTGGAGGTGGTCTTCCTCGACACAAAACACACGAATAATGTCTCCTGTCCATTCTGAAAAAAATGATCATGTATAATTATTTTCAGATATGTTACATATAGTGTAAAAAAAGTGTATTTTCTTCATCAAATACATAGTACATGTAACATGACATAGTAAGGAAAAAAAAAAAAAAAAAAAAAACACGCATGGCGGATTCGAACCCACACCCTTATTACCGTACCATATCGTGTCGTACAATATTCGATACGGACTATTCACTACCTATATACGAGCACGTTATTTAAGACCTACAAATGTATACAAACTCAAAATAAAGTAACAAGCTGAGTTTGAAACAGACAATATTCAATAAATATGCCGTCTAAATACTAGTTTTCTTTTTTATTATGCATGTATGTATTGTAAAGATTAAAAATAACACTAGGCTATCTAGCCATGGCGTCAAAGGTCCCGAAAGCTTATACAGCTGTTGTAACCGGTACTTGCAGACGATGTAAATATTAGAATGGCTAGCCTAATAATTTTTGCTAAAACATACAATATTTTTAATGTAAAAAATTAAATCATTATCTAAGTTTCAAGATTCAGTTCGTAACATTTCTCCCTCTTAGCTTTCATCTGTTCACAAGGCTTTATCCGCCGTGTACGCGTGTGACGTACAATCGTCGGTTAAATAGTTGATCATATTCATGAAAACTGCACATATAAAAATTTTCACTCATAGAAGTGATATGTATATACAATTTTTTCTCACCCGTAAGATCTTGATGTCGGTAAACCAGAATCCTGGTACATCTACTTCTGTTTACATTAACCCATGGTAACGAAAATGACGTCATTCAAACGACGAGATGAAAATTCCGGATAATTTATATATGTTATTCAAAAAAAAAAAAGAATACAGTTTGCCAAGACACTATTATAAGCTTTACTGAGCACTTAAATGATATACTGCTTTCAACTATCTTGAAATCACCGTACTGAGGTTATAATTCGAGAGTTTATAACATCTACAACCGACATGGCAACCGTTATGATTAGAAATTGATCGAACTAATTTTTAAGATTTTACCATGTCCACAGTCCTCGCCCACGATGAAATTAAGACTGAATATGGATTTACACTTCATATTCATTCTGTCAAAATTTAATCGTGGGCGATCACTGTGGAGGTATTGAATTTTGACTTTTACTGGCTATTTTTTGTACAAATAATGGCAAATGAGCCAAGGATATTATCTTTTTGACAGTGCATATTGCGCATGCGTACAAGTGGGTTTTTTTAAATATATGTTTTGGTGTCTATGAGGGTTACTTTATTAAATAACAAAAAAGAAAGAGTTAAATAAACATATTCAATTTTTGGGAAAATCACCAGGCAAACTTTGGCTAAAACTGTACCTTGTTCTTTAATATACTAATTTTTAGCTCACCTCGACGCCTTTTAAATTTAAAAAAAAAACGATTTCTTGCATCAGTGTGGCGTACTTATTGTATAAAAAGAAAGATCATATGAGCTGCCAACTATTAATCACAAAAAATCTACCAATATATCTCTCACCAAGGCATGAAGAAAAGAGAAAAATGAATAGGGCTCATCTGATTTCAAAATGGAATTATGAGTGGATGATTTGAATACCGGTATATATATTAATCAGAAATAATCACGTGGAAACAATCTCATAAATAAACTGTATACTATTTCTCCATACATGTATATGGTTAATTAAATTTCTTTATATCAACAAATTTAAGCTTTATTCTATTGAATATCCAAAAACAATTTACTTAATAGTTTTTGTATATTTGTTTGCCTTTGAAACAAATATTAGAAGTTTTTTCCCTTTTCAGATTGGTTTATGTTGTCTGTGGCGATGTCCTGCATTCCTGTCTTTGTTATGGGATTTTGCGCATGTTTTGTACTCATTCATACGATGTTTCTGGTAGGATAATTCGCAAACATGAAATTAATTTTACCGACTTTAGTTTTTGCACACAAAATTCTGCATCGATAGTGTTCATTTGTTACAATAAGAAGGTTGAATGTCATTAATATTTTATTCATTTTTAATGTTTATGTTTTTGGTTTTTGCAATATTATTGTTGACGCCTTTTTAATAATTTTTTTTCTGCACTGTGTGCACGTCAATATTAGGCATGGTGTCTGTTATTTTTTTTTTTGTTTTGTTTTAATATGTGATCTCAAATTTACTCACACTTTCCTCCATGGACATTATTGGAGGGTTGTATCTGACTCTGAAACGTTTATTTACGAGCACTTTTTCATTATATATCTTGCACTGTATCTTAAACTGTTAGTGTTGAATTTAAGATAAAGAAATAAACCCTGTCGATAAAATTTAAGATTATATCATCTTAAGTTATTGCACGATTTGGGCGCACAGTAATAAATGTATTTTCATTTGTTCTATATGTATACATACATCAGATCTAAATAAAATAAAAATACGAAAAAAATGATAGTTTTCTTTTAAATATACAGCTTAAACTAGTGCGCATATTGTTTTTCTCAGTGATAATACCGTCACGGTAGCTCATTTGGCAGAGAGTTCGCTCTGTAATCGGAAGGTCTTGTGTTCGAATCACGGCTGCGACTGACCAGAGTCGATAAAAAATAGGTATAAACTGTCCCTTCGCCAAGCACTCGGCACTTTAAAGTGAAAGTTGCAGGTCCTTCGGATGAGACCTTAAAAACCGAGGCCTCGTGTCACGGTAGGTGTTGGCACGATAAAGAACCCTCACTGCTCAATGGCCCCGAGTGCTGAGTAAAGGTCTAAATTTGAAGTCCTTCACCGGTATATGGTGACGTCTCTATATGAGTGAAAAATTCTCGAAAGGGGAGTAAAACAACATGCAATCGATCAATCAATCTCAGTGATAATACACAAGGAAACATATTTCCTTATGATGATCCTAATAGATTTTGTGCCTTGTACGATCAACCTACAGAAATATTTAAGATTTGTTGTGCATAGTGAGAAGGCGTAATTACGTGGGAAAAAAAGGCGTAGCAACGCGATGAGAAAACTCCTTTTTACTTTGCATTATTAAGCCTTTTTTCGCGTTATTACACCTTCATTGATTGATTGATTGTTGTTATACGCAAGTCGGCTATATTTCAGTTGTAGACAAAATTGCGTGATGTTTTAAAAGTTGTTAGTTTCTCCTGACGGCCCCCAGTGACTCTACTCTTTTCCAAAAACCAGTGAAACGATCTTTTGCGTGCCAAAGGGGTTGTTATCCTTGAGACGGGGCACTAGTTAAGGTCCATTGTGACGGACCTGAAATTTAAAAACGGTTAAGTTTTAAAGTATATATAATATCTACAAATAAATACCAGTTAAAATAACATCTAAATCTTTCTGTATAATACAGTTTCGTGTAAGTACTGTATTATTGTACAAGGTTAAATGTTTGTAAAAAGATTATGCACATTATATAAAAGTCACATCGCATCTAGGCGAAAATCCAGTACTTTCTGAGCATTCTGTGGTGTATAGTTTTTGATGTCACAAAATAAACATTCAGGTAGCACGGTGTTCCCTGTAGGTGTGAATGGGTAAACCTTGAATGTCCGATGTTTATTCTTGCTATTGATTTCGTTTTGACGTTTCAGACCGTAATAGATGATTGAATATTGTTTTTTAATGAATAAAGTTTATCATTATTACAAGTATCCCAAAATATTTGCCAAACTGAATTTACGTTAAGCTTTTAATTACTAATTAAAATTCTTCAAATCGGTGTAAGGAAGTTTGAAGGGGAAATTAATTACGTGGTGAAGTGTACTTTTTCCACCTTTGTCGGCCTTGTTGGCCGGGATACCTGTACGACTCGGAATTAACAAAATTCAACTATTTTGAAAGATAGAACTTGATAATGTACCTTAAATGTATGGGTGATCAATGTTCATATTGTGTATGGATTGTAAGCATTGAAGAAAGCAAGTATTCAAATAATATTAGAGAAATTACTTGAAGTCTTTATATATTCAAAAGCAAGCAGTGTTGCCTTTGCCTCCGATATGAAAATTGTTGATATATTCGAAAGTCGTGAAGAGAAAACATAATTTTGAACCACTGCTGTGGCAGCGACTTTATTTTTGTCTTTCGAACCACCTGTGTAAATTGGTATTGTTGAATGTTTAGTCTGTTAATCTAGTATTATTTTTTCAATATTCATATGATTGTATTTTGTTATGAAGTGAGAGAACACTCCAAAGCCATAAGTGAAAAATGATTTATAAAAATTTAGAAAAATAATTTATCACCCTGAAATAAACTCTCAAATCACAAGTTCCACCCTTTTTTCAACAATTTAGACCTGGCCTTTGGAACGAAACTGCCTTGTGCCTCCTTTAACATTTCCAAATCTTCTGTAAATTACCATATTATTGTAGATTAAGAAAATAAATGTATTACAAGAAAAGCAATACCAAATTTATCATATTTCGTTAAAAATTAAGTCAATTTAGAGAACACACTAATATCGTTTGACTCACCTTATCATGATAATGGATACTTTTCTATAAGAATTCAAGTCTAATTATAATATACGAGACAGTATATTTTTTATGCCCGCGTATCGAAGATTTGCCCTGTCCGTCCGTCTGTCTGTTTGTCCGCAAAAACTTTAACCTTGCCCATAACTTTTGATTGGTTGGAGCTATGGCTTTCATATTTCACATGTGTATTCCTTGTCACAAGACCTTTCTTTGGGTACCACCATATTTGACCTTGACCTTGGATTTTGACCCAGTTTTGCAAAATTTTACAAAACTTTAACCTTGGCCACAACTTTTGAACAATTAGTGCTAGGGCTTTCATACTTCACATGTGTAATTCTTGTGACAAGACCTTCCTTTGGATACAAACAACTTTGACGTTTTGACCTTGACCTTGGAGTTTGAACTACTTTTGAAAAACTTTAATCTTGGCCATAACTTTTGAACGGTTGGTGCTAGGGCTTTTATACTTCACGTGTAATCCTTGTGAGAAGCTACTGTCACAGTAACTCGCTTCGTAGTCGGTCGGATGTTCGTTGGTTTGCGCCCCTGTCGCGACCAATCTAAGTCGAAAAAAATTAAGTAACAATAGTCTCTTCACCAAGGGGTCGGCACTATAAAGTGTTAGGCGCATTACTCTGGCTGTTACCTTGAAAACCGAGACCCAGTGCAATGGCAGAGGTTGACATGTGAAAGATCCCGTAGTGCTCAATAGCCTTGAGTGCCGAGTAAGGGTGTAAATTTGAAGCCATTCCACTGCACCTGGTGACGTCTCAGAGTGAAACAACCTTGTCAGGGTTAAAAAGGTACAATTATCAATCATGCAACAAGTTGGGTGAGGTATAATGTTTTTGACCCGTCAGTCAGTCAGTCAGTCCGTCAGTACTTTTTTTTTTGTGTGTGTGTGTGTCAGCGCAACTCCTCATAAACCGCTGCACAGAATTTCGTCAAACTTTGCAGATATTTAAGACACAATGTGTAGATGTGCATATTACCAGGAAATTCCGATTCCATTATTTTTTCTGGGAATTTCGGCACTTTTCAACTTAGATTTTTGGCCATATCTTGAATATAGAGATGAAGAGATTGTCAGCGCAACTCCTCTTAAACCGCTGCACAGAATTTGGTCAAACTTTGCAGATATTTAGGACACAATATGTAGATATGCATATTACCATGAAACTCCGATTCCATTATTTTTGCCTTAAGAGTTTTGCCTATTATTGAAGAAACTTCCCAGCAAGGTACACTGTAATAAGGAAATCTACTGGAATCAGCTTTTGCTTTGAAATTTTATGTGAAATATTTTATGACCTTAAAAGACCGCTATTGATTTTGAGATCAAAATGTTAATGATTTAACACACACACACACAAAATCTTGGATAGTTCTCATCCCCCCCCCCCCCCCCATTCAAATTGGTGCTTTGCCTTAAATAATTTCATAAGTACAGTATAAACAAATTTATATGACTATATCATAATTTTGTTTCCATCAATTATTTAAATGTGTAAATTGTCATGTGTTGGACATGGACTTACACTCATTAACAAATCCAAATCACTGAGGAATTTAAATAACAGTTTGTCAGCATACATCCTGCACTGAATTTCCTGAAACTTTGTAGGTATTTCAGACATAATGTATAGATTTGTATATTACCAAGAAAATATGATTCCAGTATTTATCTAGAAACTTCAGCCCAATTAAATTTGTAACAAACAAAGATTTGAATGTCCTTATATGCTAGAAGTTTTGATGTGATTTTTTGCAAGTAATGCCCCTTTTTGAATTATGCTGTGTATTTAAAATGCACTGTGCCATTCATTAAGTGTCGCATTGTCGAGGTTTCGGGGAGCGTTGGGTATGTGAGCTTGCTCACTTTTTCTTTCATTGAAAATGGGGAAAAGGTCCTTGTATCTATAAAATTATCGGATTTTAGCCATTCTAAGCTTTATATATATATATATATATATATATATATATATATATATATATATATATATATATATATATATATATATACAGTAAAACTTGTCTAATCCGGCGACCAGTGGTTCCAAAATTTTTGGCCGGATTAGACAACATCCGGATTGGAGAAAATTGAACCATTATAGCAAGTTAAAAATTACATAGATGTAAACAAAGAGTGGTAAATAAATACTTGATCAAATGTGTCATTTTTTACGTTTCACTTGAAAAAAAAATCGTCTATTTCCGTTTGTTTTAAACTCTGTTTGTTCTTTAGAATTTTCATTTCTGTTTAAGTTTTTTATTCAGTAACGAAATATAATATCTCTTGGTCATTTATTAAATTTGAATGTTTTAAACACACTCCAAAACCTCGTCGTAGCTGTAAATATTATTTTGTTAGGGACAGATTCCTAATTAATTTCTTTCTTTAAAAATTAATATGTTTGAATATTTAGACACTGTATTTGTTAATTTCAAATGTTATAATGAATATTGAACCAAAATCTTCTCTCG